TGCTTTACGAAAGTGAATTTCACTAGGCAAAGGGGGCTTCTTCGGCATCGAAGTGGGAAGTGGTGTCTGCGATTCCTCGCGTTATACGATCACGGACCGAGGGTTCCCTTTAATCCGGACAAATTGCCCTGGTGCCAGGAGCGAGCGAGAGGCAAGGAGAAGGGCACGGAGGGAGGTGTGTAAAAGGCCTAAGAGGAGTGTATGTACTCCGAGTGAGTGCTTGTCGGTAGATAGAGCGAGACGAATGGTAAATGGAGCATACGGGTACGAGAAGGACGGACTGTATTGGCCAGCCAACAATGGGGCTTTAAGAAGCGAGATGGAACTATGCTCCAGATGAGGATCTCGAAGAAGGGGATCTATCGGGCTGGTACGCATGCATCGCTCGTTATCGAGGCAAGTGCTGGCTCTCGTCGTTCATTAGAGTGTCATTATTGGTCCAGACGGGCCGTGTAACTCGATCAATTAGCTACTTCGAGAGGCACATCCCGGCTAGATTGAGTTAGGCTTCACACACTCGGCACCCTTTATAGCATGGTTGCTATCTATCTGCGTGTCTTTGTCTAGCACGTTCTTCGTCCTTTATCGTGCATCCTTTTTTTTACGGGTTCAGGAAAGTCTTCGTCGGACAGATACGCGAGAGTTAATTCGTTTAAAGGTTCCTGGTGCCAGCTTTGACTCCCTCTGCTCTCTGTATCTGGGGGTTACACCCATGCGTTATTTTTTGGCTCCTTTTATTTTTTTGGGCAGCTTTTCTTTTTACTGTTTTACCATAATCTTTCTTTTTTTTTTTTTTGGCGGAGTCTACAGAGAGCCGTGCGAGGTGCGAACCAAGCGGTGACTTTTAAATTATGGAGTTTGGGGCCTGATTTATCGTTCGCTCTCGCGCTAGTGAAAATCCCCGGAAAATTAGCCGGAAAGGATAGCGTCGTTGCGATATCCGCCTTCGGGGAAGATTGGACTTTGTGCTATATGGCGTAGCTCCTGCAACATCATTATCGCAGGAAATGCCGAAGAGATGGTTTTCTTGGCTCGATATTTTTATAGATACTCGAGCCTGGATTTCGGCATTCGAGAGACTCCTGTTCCCTAGGGATCTTCTCTTTGTCTATCGTACGCACATACGTACGGCACACGAGGGAAGGGGATGGAATTTTCTTAACTCAAGGGCAGCTTTCTTTGTAAGATTGAAATGTTAACTGATAAACTCATTTTTTATTTCACTTGAGCCTATGGAATTGGCGATTAATTTTACAACTTTACGATATTATTTTTTTTTATACAATATCACTCACTGATGAGCTCAACTTTTTGAACGAATCCTATGTGTTTTTTTTTCCACTTGAAGAATTTCAAGATAACGAACCTGCCTCTGGATAAGCTCTATCGCACGGATCGATATCTATCTATTATAGTGGTTATGGAGCTTGATAGGGAGCCATTGAGAAAATTCCGTATGCGTCAGTCAGGTGAGAGAAATGGGAGATGATGGGAATGAGAGTGAGTGGCTATCGTTTGACTAACAAAGCCGATGCCGCTAATTCGCTCGTCAGAGATAATACCGTTCATCCTAATCGTACTGTAGTATAGTAGTGAGACGTAGAGAGAAAGAGAAATAGACAGAGAGAGAGAGAGAGAAAGAGAGAGGGAAGGAGAGACGGAGGGAGCTCAAGCAGTAGAGGATCAGAGCGTAGCAATTAAGGCCGCCTTAAACGGGCAATTTGTCCAGGATTTCCCAGCGAGCTGAGATAAAATTCCAGGCTATCGAATTAAGGAAGAGAATTTTCCCTCTCTCTCATTCCTCTTTTCCGTCCCCTCTTCCACCTCTCTCTCTCTCTCTCTCTCTCTCGTCTCCCGTCTCAGTGTAAGGTGACTCGTAGTTGGAAACTCAGTGGTAGGTCGTGTCGCCTTTTGCCTCTAAAGGCAGGGCGTCCTTAAGGTGGGGCCCAACGCTCATGACGATGAGAAAGGATTAAGTAAGGCTTTCGAGGTAAAGGAGCGACGGTGCGTTTAATTCATTATTCCGAGGGCGTCGCGCCGCTCAAAATTAAAATCAGTTCATTAAGCGGCGCTACGTGGAATTTTTTCCTAATTCGAGATTGCCACCAATTTCTATCCTCTCGTTCCGTTATTCCAATGTTCCTTTCGTTAATTGTGACGTTCCACGATGGTCACTGTTCAGGAGTCTCTTTGATCCTAGATCTGTGTATAAAAAAGGAAAACTGAACGTGAAACTTTTTTTTCGAGTAATAAGTGACACCAAAGTTGTTATATTCGGGTTGGCTTCTCGCTAAGCATGTAGCAAGGTTAACGCTGATGAACTCGGCGCAATGTGAGGATGCGAAGAGAGTGCAGGAATGGGGGAACGAGGCCCCGAGAAATGAGGATTTAAGATGGAGGCCCGGAATGCCTTGCACGCCTTGCACTCGTTATCGAATCGTTAGCAATTTAGCGCCTGGGAACGGGTTCGTAATTATTTTATTAATTTTATTACAGTTTTTACGGGTAACCCGTACGGGATGGTAGGGAGGGATATGCTGGGTGAGAAAAGTGGCTGGCGGCACGTAACGCCAGACCAGTCTGCGATTACTGAAATCGAACGTGCAATGGGAATTGAGTGAGAGAGAGAGAGAGAGAGAGAGAGAGAGAGAGAGAGAGAGAGAGAGAGAGAGAGACAGTGTGTGTATGAGATATATAGAAAGATTGAGAGAGAGAGAAATAGAGGGAAGAGAAAAAGAGAGAATATAGATACAGCCACGAGAAGGACGAGGAAGCGCGAGCTCCTGGACAAGCCAAGTCTCCTTACCAAATCGTTCGGCAATTTACCAAGCAAGCAAACGTGTTCGTAATTTTCTAAAAGCCTGAAGCCTAAAGAGGAACTCGGGGGGGAATTTTCAAAGGCCACGGGACGACCAATTTTCCTGTGTCAGATTAACCGGCAGGGATTCGACGCGGTTCCTTCCCGTGGGAACGATTACCGTCGCACCGGGATTACGTTTGCAAATTGAGATCCGGAACTTCCCAGTCGTCTAATTACGAGATAGCATCCGACACTTCTCTTCCACTTCCACTTCCTCTTCCACCAAGCCATTAGACTCCGTATCTCTTATACTTTCCTCCACCTTCTTCACCTCTGGACCCTCGGCTACGTCACCGCGGGACATCCTAGTGGAGCCTTCATCCTGAAAGGACACGGGCGGTCCTGTGTGGGTCGCGTTCGAGAATCCTGTCAGCTCGTTAGAACAAAACGGCCTGAGATAAGACAGCATCCTCAAGGACCACCCCTCCTTCTCCGTCTCTCGATCCTCATTCCCAAACGTGGTCCTGGTCGCTCTGGGAGCATGAAAACGGCCGGCGATAGGGATGCGATAAGGACGTTCGTGTAAAGGGTGTCAGAAGTCTCGGTTATAAGAGAGAGACACAACCGTCAGCTCGTTCATTCCGTAGAAGTGGTCCAGGAGGAGACGGAGGCTGAGGAAACCCTAGGGGATGCCACATAAAACAAACCCCAGCAGTCGCTGGTATATATATACCCTCGTCCCATAACCTCAACGACGTAACTCTTACTTAGACTCTCCGTTGTACTCGTATATGTATATATATGGTGGTTCTACGATTTTCAAGATCGTTTATAACGATCCGTGATTAATTACTAATTACCGTGATCGATCGTACGAAAATAACCTGCGGCTTATTCCATCCGATATCTAGCGGTCCATCCCTCTCAACGTTCGCTGTGTCCTACATGCTTCTACTATACTGTTTCATGATATTATACAAGGTCCCAGGTCCCTTACTTACTGTTGCTTAATAACGGGAACACCCTATGGAATTTCAGGTAGTAGTGATTCGTTATTAATGATCGGATCACTGGAGGATCCGCTCTATCGATTACTGGTCCAAGGGCGCTTTCTTCGTCGATCCTTCTCGATTCTACTGGATCCCTATTACGGAAAGAGTGAGACAGATGACGAGAGGGGCCAAGAGCATAAAGCGCGAGGGGAGGAAATGGTCTCGGCGATGCGTGTCCGACTTCTGCTGCCTCAGGGCATCGATCGTCATTTCGATCGATCTAGACTCTTCGTACGATATCTTTTCTCTTTCTCTTGGCTTTTTTATCCTCTTTTCTTTCTTTCCCCGAATACTCCAAGATCAAACAAGATAATGAAAGGATGGACGTACGGGCGTGGCGTGCACGAATGTTTGCTATACGTTTAGCCGACTATAGGAAACCTGGCGGAACAAGGGGAACCCGGGAGTCTTGGGGCTACCATATTCTTGGTCTCCCCACGGTAAACGAATTGTTTCCACAAGAAGGGTATGGACTTCCGGTCTTAACGAGTGTACCCGGAAGTGACTGACCCGAACGGTCGTGGCACCTCTTCTCATAAAGACTGACCATTATCCCGATTCTCTGTTGACGTAATGACAATGGAGAAAAAAGAAGCGTGACTAGCGCCACGGGTCTTAACGTCGGAAGATGCTGGTACTACTGCTAACGACGACGTTATATAACAGCTCGATGTAAAATGAGGGTGACGGTCTTGAAAAGTCGATGGGCCGGCGCATCAAAACTTTTGAGGAGGTACATAAGAACCTACCAGATTTAAATAGGAGGATGAGTCTCGTGGCCTATATGGCCTGGGGGATATAACTTTTAATCAATAACGGCCATAAAACCGGCAGAGAACGCAAGCCCTGTGACTGTTAATGAAGACGCCTCACGGCGTCTTCGCCGAACCAATAACGACGCAGTGGACTAATTATTTCGACAACGCGATCGAGTTCCACGTGGTTGGCAGCCTTGATTATCATACAAGGAATAAACTTTGTTGGTACGAATCGCGTGCTCAGTTAATGATATGTACGCATTTCATTCAGCGGGGGACCCTTGTATATCTGTAAGCGTAGCAACGTCATCGCATACCATCCTATATTATATAGTCTCATTGAGACCTCTTGCACGGCATCACTTAAATCGGTCCATTCTTTGATTTCAGTGTGCAACTGCAACCTGCACGCGAGACGCTGCAGATTCAACATGGAGCTGTACAAGCTCTCGGGACGCGTCAGCGGAGGCGTCTGTCTGCAGTGCCGTCATTTTACAGCAGGACGTCACTGTCACTATTGCCGCGAAGGATATTACAGAGATCCCGCAAGACCCATCACGCATCGTAAAGCCTGCAAACGTGAGTACACTAAAAATTACATATGTAACATGTATATCTCGTGAAGTCTTGAGAGTGTTAGCAGCCATGAAGCTTGCGCCACGGCGATTCGAGTTTACCGCAGCGTTATATATCTTTCCTTTTTCCTTTCTCTTTCTCTCTTTAATCTCGACTTCTTTATGTCCTTGCCCGCGTCGAGTCGAGCCCTTCTGCCTTCGGGCTACCGAGCCTCTTCGATTTTGGACATTGGTCCAGTATCTGTTTAAGATCTGTTTACGGTCCAGCATCTTCCAGTGTCGTATACCATATTCAGTATGTACTTGTAAGTCGTTGTCGCAGTCGCGTAGCAAAGAATTACCACGAAACCGAACACTTGTCCCATTCGTCTCTGTCCCTTGCGCGGCTACAAAGTGGTTACCAGCTGAGCAACCCCCTAATCTTGGGATTCAATTTATGTACGTTTGTCTAGACTCATAAATGGCTCTGGGGATAACGATCTACCACGCGGTTGTAGTCGCGCGCTCGCGCCCCCTGCGTGCTCGTTCTCTCTTTCTCTGTCTATCTTTTTCTATCTCTTACTATCTCTTTCTCTCTTTACACACACTCTCGGCGTCCTTGTCGCTCCACTTTATTACTCCACAAACCCGCTGCTCACTCCATTCATTCTTTTTGCACGTGTAGGTACGGCTGAACGTTCGAATTCGTAGGGTGGTATGCCTGTAGGTATTCAGATTTCTGGCTGTTAAAAAGAGGGTGCGCGTAACGTTACCTTAAAAGAACGTAGGAGTTCGTGCATTAACGGCTGAAGGAGATGCCGGGTAGTTATTATTTTTCGTCAATGGTTCGCGCGATATTGTTCCTATTACGGTACTAATGGCGATAAGGGTAAAAAAATGTGAATAGACAATAAGGGTAGTTTCGTGAAAAAAGTCTGTGGTTTCAAACGGAAAAAAATGGTCAGTATGAAAAGATAGACCGTCCACGAGTAGTAGCGTTAGATACATGTCTATAAACCTTGGGGAGAGTGAACATCCCTTATTAATACGTATCCATGGTAGTAAACCAGCGTAACGCGTGTATCGAATCCGTCGTATTTATGGTACATGTGGATGCGCATCCGTCCAGTAGCTACAGGGTCGGATCTCGTTGCAGAGTAATATTAGAAACTACCCCTGTTTGCCCAGCACGCGTGACCGTACCGAACCGATACGTTTGAGCGGGCTCCTCTTTGCATCCGTACACCCCCTAAAAGCAGCCGTGTTTACTTGAGCCCCGCTTCTAACCCCCCGAGCAAGGGTTGCTTCCCAAACAGAATCGGTCACCTAGGACCTGCAGGCGCGCACAGCGCCAGTAGCATAAACTATAGCGGATTCGTAACCGCCGAGGACGCCATCATGGACGACGTCCTTTCACCCAGGGCAATTAATACGGAATTTGGGTCGCGTAAAAGAGGGTTGTTGGGACGCCCACTAGTGTAAACTATTGCTTGGCGAACTGGGCCATTTAATTAATAGTACGTTTAAGCTTTCAGTTCCTTTCGCATCGCTTCGCTAAGGATTTACGCGCGGCACCTTCTTCCTGCTCAATGGCTGACTATGACGCCCCGGCGTCGGCGTCGGTCTCTCCTCGAGCATATACGCGAAGGTGCTTGAACCCGATACCAAGTACAAAGCTTTCTCGCTCACTCGGCGTACGTTAGCATATTCATTACTCGCCACTTAAACGAGGGTTGAAGCTCGAAGTCTGGAAGCTTCGACATTTGAGGTTTGAGCTTGCACTGGGATCAGCACTATTACTCTTGCTCATCCCTCACTCCTCTCGCTCACTCACTCACCCTCTATCTCTGTCTTGGGTTCCTCTAGTTCTTTACTTCCTGAACTCACTTTGTATCTCTCACTCTCTCACTCTCGATCCTCGACTCGGAAAGACGCTACCCGAAATCGAGTGGCACTCGAATCCCTGAGCGTCTATTATCTGCCATTCAGACGTACCTACGTGGTACGGTAGGTATTACCAATATGCACGTGTCGCATATGGTTAGTCAGTACACTCGGAAGGAAAAAGAAATGACATTGGTCTCATCGTCGTACCGTTTACATTCCATGAATGTTATTACTTGTACTCTTTTTGTATATTGTTGATTTATTTTTTTTACCTTCAAGTTAACGCGAACGTCATATATGCTGCACATGGATACATAGGTGCTCCGCCCGATACGTGTCAGGATTTAGTTACCTTGCGGTTAGAACATTCCGTTGGATGTAAATATTTGAATGGTGAGAAACCACGTGTCTGTACAGAGATCGAAGGGAACGAGGATGCTCGTAGCATTCGTAAAACGGCAAAAGGTACGAGGGTCCCCTCTAAGGATTATTTTAATAAGATTATAGCAATTAGGGGATGGCGTATTCGTCATACCGAAAATCCTTTCACGAATTCGTCCAATTAGATTTCGTTAAGGAGCTCAGGGCGTCGCGATGCCCGTTTCTTGGATACCGCTCGTGGCATTTCCGTATCTCCACCCTTGTTTTAATAAAGGCTGCGGAGCCAGCTAGTCGGTCGCTCCACCATCCGAGGGTGCAGAGGTCAAGGGGTTTACCTGGAAAACAATTGAAGATCGGTTCAAGAAGCAGTGCGAGGAGTGGAATTGGAGATCGAAGTGTGGCACGTTGCTAGTACTGAAGTGATTCTTCGAAAGGGGCTGGGGATGAAGGAGTAATGACGAAAGGCGATGAAAGGTATGAAAGCGGTTGAGGAGTCGAAGAGAGAAGCTTTCTTGCAAGACTCGATAGACTGAATTATGGATTCGATGTATCGTCTCGAAATGTCACTGACCCGACCTATCGATTACGCGAAGCTTCGAGACTTTGTAAACTGTGTATCTTTTCCTCTCTCTCTCTCTCTCTCTCTCTCATTCACCAGCACATCTCGCACACTAGCTTCACTCAGACTACCACTAGCCTCATCCTCGCAGGTATTAGCATTGCCAAGTGGAATAGCTGGTGGAATGTACGTGGAATACATGCTCCGTTGTAGATTCCTTGCCAAGTATTTTTCTTCGTCTCTCCTCGTCCCTCTTCGTAAGCTCTGTCTCTCTCCCACTCCCACCAGAGATACCGAGTATCCCCTGGCAGCATCTTTGTTTTTCCTTTGACTCTCGTCTCTTTTTCCCCTCTCTCTCCTCTACTCGAGGCGTAAGGCGTGTATCGCACGTGGTAATTGCGCGCATAATTCAAGGGCGCGGCTCAAGATCGGTACAGGATCGGCAAGTCGTGTCCTCGTGGCACTTTAAGAAAACCGATAGGGTTCAGCAGCTTGTCGCACGTAGCGAGTCCCGCCTGAGGTTCCCTGAGATCTCGGCCCCTCGCGACCCATGGATACCGGATAGTTGGGTACGTCTTGCAGGTGGTCCTGGCCCTCTCCTTTTTTCCTCGTCTCCTCCCACTTCTTATTTCTTCCCTTGTTACGTACACTTGGTATCCCTGATGGGGTCGCTTTCATACACGCACTACGTGTACACTGTGCTTAGGCCCTTGGCCCTTTGTCCTTTTGCTTTCTCATTGGCCGAGGGGGAAGCCACTCGCTCGGAAAGCAGCCGTGTTCCTTGCTGGACACGCGACTCCAGACATTAGCCGTCCCTGGTTATCGGATTTCGCCCATTACACCTACTGAGATTTATTAGCCCTTCCTCTCCCCTCTCGTTTCTTACCCTTGTGAGAGACCTACCCCCTCTGAGTTCTCCAACGTCTTCGCCTTATACATATGTAAGCATTATACCGCGTTGAGGCTGAAGATCGGGGATCGACCTGGGTTATGTATCTCTGGACATATGTGGGTACTCGTAAAGTAGCCAAGAATCGGATTGGACTCATGTCACGTGTCGAATTTCGAGACCTTTTTTTTTTTTGAAAACTTGTACGTTTCAGTCGGCTGGTCAGCAAGATAACGCTTCTCCGGGTTGCTAGATAGGGATGAGGGTTGGCCTATGTGTATATATATATATATATGCACTATCCAATGTATCAGTGGGCTTGAGCTATACCGGGTTCCGCAAACGGGGCGAATTTCCAGGACAAGGCTTATCGACGCGGGGCGTCCCTCCCTCATGAAAACGCACCGCGTGCCGGGCGAGATCGAGATTTATAGAGGGATATCCGGACGGGTGTTGGGTTTCAATTAAATATGATCGATGAACCTCACCGGGGATAGAAGCCGCATTCCCTGGGGAAGAGATTGCAGGTATACTTTTCCTTCGATAAACGACGTCCCGCTACTATAAATATTTTCGCGAGTCTGATATTTGTTTGGATGATACTGCGTTCCTTGTTATACTCTCTCTCTCTCTCTTTCTCTTTGCATATACGTAAATCCGTAGGAGCGAGATAGGGCGCGAAAACGAAAAAACGAGTGCATCGACTGGTGGGTTT